TTGTTTACATTAAGTCTAGTAATGTAAACAATGATATATATTAAGCTAGACATTTTAAACTGATTATGTAAGAATAAAAAAATTCACTGTATTTATTATAATTGATCATCATCATAAAGTGGTATATACAGACAGACGTAGTGTGTAAACTTTGTTTTAAAATGGGTTAACTGATTAGTTAATAAACCCTTAATACTATATAAGCTAAAAAGACTAGGTGATATCATGTTTATCTAAGTTATAACACACTAATAAATAGTGAGGAAATAAGATGTTTTGGACTGGTTACGTAAGGATAACAAAACACAATCGTGTATATTTTCAATTGTATTTATCATTTTGATTAGTAAGTATAAATCCCAAACATTGTCGACTTCAAAATAACTTTAATCAGGACATTTTCTATGATCAGATTCGGTATCTATAGACTGCATTTGCATATTTCTTTTATCATTTGCCTACGGGCAGTTCTGAAAGCTTTCAGATTTACAATATTTACTTATTTATTTCCGTTTAAGTAAGCCGTTATTAAATGAATAACAATTTTATCTTTAATAATACGATACTGTGTGGTACAACTTAAAACATGAAGATACGCATAGTGCGACTTTACACTCATCACACATGTGAGTCCTGCGGCAATGCGTGTAAACGCCATACAGAATACGAACGAATCCAGCCACAGTGAATGTACGTCACACGGTTTAGGCAAATAGGCACACTGGCCGTAAACCCTCCGTGAGCGCCACCACCTGCCAGACTGCCGCTCCTGCAGACGTGATGTAAGTGTATGGGATCACCACCAATTGCATGATTAGCACGGCTACTAGCCGCAGAGCGTGTCATGAGTCTACCGCTCACCTCAAGGGAATGAGGTCCCACGTTGTGCGGCTTTCGGCCGCAGCCTTGAGAGTCCTCAGATCCTCCCTCCAGCTACCACCCGCATGAGGTCGACACATATGCTCCACCATTACAACGGCAGATATAGCCAAAAGGCAGCTATAAGATGTTAGTAATAATTTGCCATCAAAAAGGTTTTGTGTCACTGACGTTGAGTAAATACATTTTCGATCATGTTTGTCTCACCCACAAACAAGTTGCCTTCAATCATTCAAAGGTGGGAAAGTTACAGAGATATATTATTATGTTGTTATACAAAACATCATGGAGGTCAAACAGTCTGCAGCCCCGTAATGAAGGGACCCGACTTGGGTAAAGCTACTTAGGTGTGAGTCACACCAAGACGCAGAGAGCGCCATTAAGAATAGCGTCCCACCAAGCTACTATCGCAGAGACGCAATGCTGCAGAACGCAACAAGCATCAATACGACTATCGTCGGGCTTACACCATCCCAAGGTCCCTCATACATCCCAGCAGACATCACCACCCGCATACCTCCGTCGACACGAACCACAAGAATGCGTCGGATCAGGCGCAGCACACCCGCAGATCCATCACAAGACGCAATACCGTATATAAGCGACAGTAGCCTAATGGCAAGGCGCGGACCGCGAACTCAAAAAAGGTCGTGGGTTCGAATCCGCCATTCTTCTACTGGCGTGAACCACTTGTAACACAAGCAATTTAAGCTTACCACGAGTGGTTAAGGTGAATATTAGTAATGTTTATAGCATTGTTAATATTCTTTAAAAAAAATACCGCAAGTAGCAGTAAGCATCACTACAACTATCATACGGATAGCGCTCCCTCACAACACACCCACATGATCCCTATCGACTTTGGTAACAAAATTTGTATTGTTGTTAACTAAAAAATATCACCAATGTATCATAGTACCACGCTACTAAGACGTTAGTGGATAAAACTCCACGTATCATAGCGTTAATGCGCTAAGACATGAAGTTGAGTATGCTTGTTACACTTAAAAGTGCTACCAAACACACTCATCCCAATCCGAAAGATAGACAACGCATCGCTATGCGCTACGACGACGCCCTCAAACGGTATGGGTGTGCGATGTCCACGGGAAAGCCGAATTGCTACAACAAACCCGCTTACCACCGGCACTAAGATGATATGTCTAGGACACATCGGTTAGCGAGTCCAAGTTAACCTCGATCTCAGTTGCTCGTGAAGCAGCATACACGATACTATAATAATATTTTTCGAGTCCCATTTCTATTAATATAATACTTTTACTTATTTGAGACCTTCCACGTATTTGCTTTATTTCATAGACCTTACTTATGTCTTTAATATATAGGTCTTTAACCCATAACTCTACTATCATAATGCTTATGCATCGAAGAGACATATAATAATGCTTTTGTATCATAGACCTTATTATTATGTCTTTAATATATTAACACTGTATTTTCTATTCTATCTTTCTTTCTCTGTCCTATAAACCATTACTGTAATCTGTGTTATCCTTCTTATTGTAAATCGTGGACATATCTCGTGTGTGACATTACAGCATAAAGTGTAGAACTTTATTTTAATTCCTTTCTTCGCTACTCTCGCCTTACCCACGCACTCAGCCCCACACGTTGCACTATTTGGCAAGTCAATGGGCATCAAGGATGTATTACTTTTTTAACACCACAGTATCTTGAACTTGGATATGAAAAAGTAAACTAAAATGTAAACTTGTCCCGTAGAAATTAGCATTTCAGGAATAATAAGTATTCAACAAAAATACGTTTATGCTATTTTATTGGAAAGTTATACGTATTAAGGTGATAAATTTTTTTGACTGTTCTCATAGCGGTCGATCTCATCTTTGGCCACATTTCGTTTTGACTACGATTACGATTACCTCCTTATATACATACAAAATTAACAATTTTATTATTGCCGTTGGAGAATGAACCTGAGTTACTAGCGTATTGTGAAATTTTACTAGGGCTTGTTTTGAGTATTTGTATGGCCTACAAATAATTTCTATACCTTAATCTTCCCGTAAACTTCCACCGCTGAACAAGGAAGGATCTCTCCCTATCTAGGGAGGATTTGCCTTGAGCACCTCTGGCAATGTTGCCTGTCGTCGGTCTGAATATTTTACATCTGAAGCAAACGAGATGGTTATACTGCCATCAGATTTTTCTGGCAAACCCATAGTTGCCTGTTACGAAACCCATTGAATAGAATGTATTATGAATCCTCTTATGCTGCGATTATTAGATTATTGTAATTATAACATGGTCAGAAGAACCATTATTTCCATCCAAAAATGAATATAAGAGACATTATGCGGAGTAATTGGCTAAAATACTTTATATCTAGCTACATTATTTAGTATAATTATGTTAAATATAATTTCTCTATTTCTCCCTAAGTTAACTGATAGAAGATGCTATAAGGCATAAACTCCGCGCATTGGAAACCGATTAAAATATTTAGTTCGTGTGTATTTCAGAACTGTATATCACACCTACAAAGATTATGAAAAAGAACATTTTGGAACAAAAGAGCGTAAATACTCTTACGGAAAAAACATCTGGGGTGTCAACAAAAGACATTCTTGAGTCTGATGGTTGTAGTAAAAATAATTCAACAAAAGGCATTCTCGCCAAACACATTTCCATTTACAGTCATAAGATGCAAAGAAACTCTGACACCACTGCAGTTCAGACACTAGTTGAACAAACTCCAGTACCACAACAAACAGAAATATTTTACAAAGAGATAAGTTCGTTGCAAAGGCGTATAAAAATACACGATGGAGAAAAACCTTTTTCATGTCATATCTGTGAATTTAGATGTAGAACAAAAAGTTATTTGCAAAAGCACATGAAAGTACACACTGGAGAAAAATCTTTTTCGTGTAATGTTTGTGAATATAGCTGCATTAGAAAAAGTTACTTGAAATCGCATATGAAAATACACTCCCGAGAAAAACCGTTTCAATGTAATATCTGTGAATTTAGATGTAGTACAAAAAGTAATTTGCAAAAACATATGAAAATACACACCAGAGAAAAATCTTCTTCGTGTAATATCTGTGAATTTAGCTGTATTAGAAAAATTGATTTGCAAGCACATATGAAGAAAATACACGTCGGTGAAAAACCTCTTTCGTGTAATATCTGTGAATTTAGATGCAGTACAATAAGTTATTTCCAAAAACATATGAAAGTACACACAGGAAAAAAATCTTTTTCGTGTAATATCTGTGCGTATAGATGTATTGGAAAAAGTTACTTGAAAACACATATGAAAATACACACCGGAGAAAAACCGTTTTCGTGTAATATCTGTGAATTTCGATGTATTAGAAGAAGTGATTTGCAAACACATATGAAAATACACACCGGTGAAAAACCTTTGTCGTGTAATATTTGTGAATATAAATGTATACGAAAAACTACATTGAGAACACACATAAAATTTCACACTGGTGAAAAGCCCTTTTCGTGTAATATTTGTGAATATAGATGTATTACAAAGAATCGTTTGCAAATTCATATGAAAATACATATGAGAGAAAAACCATTTTCATGTAATATCTGTGAATATAGATGTATGACAAAAATTCGTTTGCAGAGGCATATGATAATACATACTGGAGCAAAACCTATTTCGTGAGCTACCTGATAAAATATTTACAATAAGTAAGTGTTTTATATATAAGTAAATGAAACAAATTATAATTCAAAATATTTATGTATGTATTATAAGTTAAGTGTACATTTGGTGTTTACTTAAAATATTATATCTTACAACTTAACCACCCTTTTCAGGTTATGGGTCCCGCATTATTAGGTCTGTGACTTACATAACTATTATGATTAGTTATAATTAGACAATTAGTCAAAATGAAAAAAAAAACATAAAATGGCTTAGTAATAGCAAAAAAATAAAGAATACATATTGTTTGGCCAGACTGCAAAGGCTGTATCGTATGTCGTGCCGTGCGAGGCAGGCACGGCGCGACATACTAAAACATAAAGTCTTCCTTTGAGTGTCCATAGTAGCCACGTTGGCGCAGGGCGGGCGCTGCGCGACATACTTAAACGTAAAGTCTTCCTTTGAGTGTCTATAGTAGAAACGCGGATGCGGGGCGGGCGCGGCACGACGTACTCAAACGTAAAATCTTTCTTTGAGTGTCCATAGTAGCCACGCAGGTGCGGGGTAGGCGGGGCGCGACGTACTCAAACGTAGTCTTCCTTTGAGTGTCCGTAGTAGCCACGCGGGTGCGGGGTGGGCGGGGCGCGACGTATTCAAACGTGGTCTTCCTTTGAGTGTCCATAGTAGCCACGCGGGTGCGGGGTGGGCGGGGCGCGACGTACTCAAACGTAGTCTTCCTTTGAGTGTCCATAGTAGCCACGCGGGTGCGGGGTGGGCGGGGTGCGACGTACTCAAACGACGTCTTTCTTTGAGTGTACATAGTAGCCACACGGGTGCGGGGTGGGCGGGGCGCGACGTACTCAAACGTAAAATCTTTCTTTGAGTGTCCATAGTAGTAACGCGGGTGTGGGGTGGACGCGTTGGCGAGCGCGGGCTGGTTCGCGCGGGGAGCGCGCGGGCAACTTACGCCATACATCGTTAATACAATTGGCTGCAGTGAGTACGCGGACGCCAAGCGGCTAACCACGCGAGGAGCGGGCATCTCAAACCAGATAGAGCTAACCGCGCGCGTTGTTATGTCTTCCGAAATAAATGTAGAAGAATTTATTTTATAAGGTAATTTACTGTTTTCTAATATATAGTCGAACGTATCCATTGATACTCTCCTATATCCAAAAACATTTTGAGTTTGCGCTCGCAGTTTTGCATTAAGTGTGTGAAATTCTCCTTCATTTGCTCTGAGTAAATTGATTTCATTTTTCACTTGTAGAGTTTGCCATTTACAGTAAGAACTTTCCAGTGAAAATAAGTCTTATTCATCTATATATTATAGTTTGACAAACACTGATCACGGCAACACTCGGAACAAAGCCGTACTCGACTGCGGACAGTGCGCTGCATACCGCGCCCGCGTTTGCAGTCTGGCCAAACTCAAAGTAATTAGATTTATAAGGAGTAATTTAATTTTGTAGATATTGTAAAAACAGCTTTGTATTACATATTTTTTTAATTTCTTATTAAGGCTTGTATTCAAGCTAATGGCCTTGTGCATTTGGGCGGAGCTAACGACCCCTCTCCGCGCCACTCCGCTACCCGCATGCGACAGAAAAGATGCGCCGCGGCCCGCGCCTTGCCGCCACTTGCGTTGCCGCGCTTTGTCTCGTCACAGAGTGGCGAAATCACGGAAGGTCAAATCATCGTGAAAGTTAAATTAATTTTTATGTGTAGCGCATTTATAGTGGTATTTTTATTCTTTTGGTTGGTTGAACTTCTTCATCCTCACTTATTTCTCCGTGTTCACATATATTTACATTCGGAAATTTCGATAGCCCGACAAAATCTTTTATTTTCTTCTTCGATCTCGTTGTCTTCATTTTTCTCTTCAACCTCTTTTTCTTTCCTTAGTTCTATTTCCTTCTCTTTATCGTTTTCTTTTTTCTCTTGTACAGCGTCTTCTTGTAATTCATTGTCTTTTTTATTTTGATTTAAATCATTTTGTTTTCTTTTTTTGGGTAGTTTATTTTTATTTGCGCTTCCTTCCACAGCTTTTTCTATATAAATAGGGTCTCTAATTTTCATTTTTCTGGTAATATGCAATCCAAATAAAACCTAGTTAATTTATTTTCCATTACGTCTTTCCAGAACTTGTCATCTTTTTCTATTATATCAATTTTCATGGGAATATTTTCACCCAGCCATAGTCCAAAAAGGCATCTTATTCTTTTGGTTATGTGAAGCTGACCCTGAATCTGGTAATACCAATTATGATTGGTGTTAATAATAATCGTACCAGTTTTATCGATTTTATAAAAGGGTATTTTTTTTTGTAACTGCTTCGGTAAAACTTAGTTGGTGAGCTGCAACAGGGCATTTAATTTCTACCACCATGTTTTCCTCGACACATATACCGTCAGGAGTAGCGCCTAGATATGGCAATTCGTCGTCAATATATAAACCGCGTGGTTGTATAACCAATCCAGTGTCTTTTGAAATTTGCTCAAGAGCTATTTTTTCATTTTCAGTCCCATGTTTTATTGATTTGACGTGACTAATGCGATCTTTATATAATAAATCTTTTACTAGGTTACTACAACTGATATTTGAACGTCTCTTTATAATTCGGCCGAAGTTAGAGGCTGTTAATAGTTTCCTTCTCAATTCCAGCCATTCACTGCATAAACTGTAAAATAGTATCTTTTTCAATTTTTTCTCTTTCATCTTTGCTTTTCTTTAAATTATTGATGAAAGTAATTTTTTCTTTCTCCATTATTTCTGGAACTATATCCTCTCTAGCACAATTTTCACCATAATTTATATCTTCCCCTTTACTAAATAATAATCTATTCCTTTTTCTAACGCCTTTTGTTTTTAAGTATTTTTTTTTCAGTAAGCTTCTTTGCTCAAGCAGCTTCACTTTTCCTTTAGGACTTTTTCCGGTGGCATATTTATAAGTCGTTGATAATAATGCACGAGTGTTATAGGATATTGCGGCACCTTTGCATCTGTTTTCATATCCACCTTTCAGGCTATAATTTATACGTTTTCCGCCAACTAGTTTAGCGATTATGCTATTGTAACTTTCAGCTTTATTACTTTCCACATTATGATGAGACTGGGTACGTGAGATGCAACGTTTGTCATAATTTGGCAAATTTTGATCCAAAGAGTGCTTGTCCTAAATTCATTATCGCTAGTATCTTCCGTATTAGGTTTGTTGTAGAAATATTGTTTGCGAGCATTATGATCACCAAAGGCATGTATATGAGCCTGTAATATATCGTTATAAAGAAGTTCAACGTGTGCTCGTTTCTCGGATTCTAAATTGGATGTTTGCTTTTCAATTGCCTTTTTTATTGAAAATCTGATTGCCTTTATTTTTTGGTCTGTAATATTTTTTCTATAACGCAGAGTGTACTTGGTGTCAGTTTTCAATTGTGATAGCTTATTACATAAATTTCGCATTATGTGATTTTTGCACTCGATTTTTTGTACTGTTGTATTGCAGTATGAACGAGTTTCAATGATTTTGGAATATGTGGCGGAATCTCCATCACTTATCATCCTTCCATAAATCAGCCCGTGCATGTCAATGGAACATTTAAATCCTTCAACAAGTATAGATGACCTGTATAATTTTTAAAACATTTATGTTCACGAGGCAACACTTTTTTACTCTGCCTGTGCGCAAATACAACAGTACTTATTTTTAATATCGATGATCAGAATCTTCCCTGTTTTTTTTTTCAATAATGACTGCTGCTCCTGATAACGCAGAGTTTTTTTTCTATAGGTGCGTTTACTCTAACAACCGTCGACAATTACGTCAATAATAGGAACACCATTTTCATCTATATGACCTTGCAGTAAGGCAAACTCTCGTTCTTCCTTCGCGGCATCGGTCATTGTTTTTAGTGAAATTCCTTCCCACATATTCGATAAGTTTTCATGGCATTTTTGGTACATGTTGAAAGGTATTGAAGGTAAATCTAAAGAGGCAGATAGCTCTTGGAGTTGTGAATGACCACAACCAATTGCCACTGTCCCTAAAACTGCACAATTGTTGATGTTCATTTCTCTACCTTCATCGCTGGAGATAAAAAATTTCATGTTGAATAATTTGCATTGAAGCGTAAAAGTTGATTGATAACCGGTTTGTTTTTCAGAAACAATTTCCACGCTACCGAGACCACAATTGAAAGGTCTATGCGAAGATACCTCTTGGTATTTTGAATAAAATGTTTTTAAATTGAGAATTCTTCGACTTTCAAGTTGATATGTTTTCTCAGAAGATTCGGCCGTGTCTACCTGTAAATAATTAGTATGATTTTAAGCTAAAATTAAATTATTCAAGATGTTTAAGTGCATCGTAAGATCAAATAGATAGTACATACTTCACAAGGAGCTGAATAATCTTCAAGTTCTTCAACAGACCTTACAACATGCTTGTGAGTCAACATGTCAATCGGTGGAGAACGTAGTTTTTGAGTGCCCTAATCACCTTGTGCCTAAAATGAAAGCAGTTATACATATAGTTACAATAAAAATAAAATATGTATATGTAGTTATTACAAATTATTACTTACATTCACATCCTAATCCATAGAATCACCTTCAACTTCTCTGATAGAGCTAACTGATTCACTACATAAGGGTAGTGATTTTTTTATTTGATTTACCTCACCAAAACATTCCTAAAAATATTTATATGATTAGATAAATAAATGCATGTCAAGTTTATTTCTTTGTATAATATATAATGTATAAATAAACTATATAATGAATAAATAAAAAAGATTAAATTAAAACATAAACATAATATATTTATTATTGAAAATAATTAAGCCGGTAATCGATAAATTAACAAATTACTAGCAAGTACCTAACCTATAATCATAATTAATACCTACTTCAGGAGCATTTTCAGTTTTGCCAAAGTTTTCGTCTGTAGTTGTAGCTAAACAAGACCTGCAAAAAATTAACTTGTCATAAATAATCACAATGAATCAGAATAAATTAATAAATAAATATACTTTACATAAGTACCGAAAAGAAAAATTTATAATAAGTATTGACTGAAAGTATTGAAAGTATTGCGTGAATATGGTCCTTCTGTGATCATTCACTACTCTATGGCACAGAAGTATTATACTTACGACGACTTTGTTTGAATATAGGTATTATATAAACAGCACCTGTCTAATATTATGAAATATGTAGATAAAACTTACCTTGATAAATGTATACCCTTTTGTTTGTAATATTTTTTAGACCTCTCTTCAATCGTTTCTGCTTATTCCCCATGTTTTACAAACTAAACTTAAACACTAATAAAACTGTACAATTAATATAACTATAAAACACTACTATTAAACAAGAATCAGAAAAAACCTACTCCACTATTAATAAAATTAAATTTTTGCAGTAATATTTTACGATTTTATTTCGTAGTGCTGAGCTCTCGCAACGCGGCGTACGTCCACCTAGCAACACGATGCGCCCCGCACTGAATTCGTGGACGAGTGCGGGGGTGATATAGACGCAGTATTTAACCGGGATGCATTTTTAATTTATTATCATAAAAATAATACATATTTCTAAAAAGTAACCAATCCAAATTATTTTATTTTGTATTGCAAAGCAGTAGATATTTTTTTATATTCCTTTGATAAAAAATGAAGGAGTAAAGTGGTTTCATCTCAACGATTTGGAGGTGATTTGGGTATTTTTTTATTTATAATGTGACACCGATAGAAAAATTATGGCTAAACCAAATTACGTATCATATCATGTAGATTACTAGCTATTTTTTTCATATGTAATTTCTCTGTAAGTGCCGACGAAAAGTTGGTTCATCTGTACGCTTTTTTCGAGAGAGCAGCCCTAAATGGAAGCATCTTTCATGTCATCATCATTGCAGCACTTCACAAGTCCACTGCTTAACGTAGGCCTGCCCCAAGCAATGCCACAAGGCACGGT